CATGAAAAAGTATTTTCATTAATTGAATCAAAAACAATTTTTAAAGGTAAAGATCAGATTTGGAAATGCCCCCCTCTCAAAATATGAAATGCAAGCTCTTATTACCAATCATGTGAAAGAATATGTTTTGACTAATACGTGATGATACAAATTTTGCCGAGAAACAGAGTACTAATTGATATATTTGGTAAATTATTTTATCTATTTGGACCTGATAGATATATATCGCGCACGTATCGCGTAATCCCATATACATCTTTCTGTGTACAGTGCTTGTAACTTCAATAAGACTGGGCCAAATTTCTTATCATTTTGATGATTCCAGAACATTGCAGTACACACCAATACTTACATGTATATGCTAGATGATCAACCTTTTCTGATCGATTCCACAACGTTTCTTTCACAATGCAAACGCATGACCATAACTGGTCTTTATCTTTAAATACTAAAGTTTATAAAATGAGTCCAACTCTTTGGCTCCCAGACCCAGAGGTTATGGTTTTACACATGTTTGAAATAAAAAAGAATATGTCAAGTAATTGATTAGATAGGTGCACATTCAACACCAATCTCAGTTTCGTATCTAATTCGGTATATTTGTTAATGAACGTTATCGAAAGGGTTGTGGCCAGTATTAGGATCATCTTGTGAAACCTGCTCCACAATCACAGCCAAGCAATTAAAACCTTGCCCAACACGCACTGTTTGCATCGGTAGATCAGATAACCTATTCATGTCCATATTCAGATTGAACATCATAGAAAGAACCTATATTATCTTTTTTTGCATCTTGTCTGCCTAGTGTCAAAAGTAATTTCATCCATGTGTCACGTCATATTAAGTAAATGATTTATTTGACCCAGATTTCAACCCCAGCTTATAATGAAAGGTCATAAAGAATACTTCCCTTACTAAAATTTCAATTTCAAATATCCAAAGATGTAATAATATTGATCTTTACATTGCTCCGTCTGAATTTCGTTAAATTCACACCAGCTTTTAGAAATATATATCAAAAGAGCGAATTTTTCTAGATTACAGTATCAAATATTAAAAGGCATATATTGAAACCGTGCCTTACAAATGTACTGTATGTATAATGAAGCATTTAAAATGATCAATATTTGAGGGCATTTTTTAATTTTCATATCATTTTATTTCCATGACAGCTTTTGTGAACTTACTTTTCACCTTTGCATTATCAAATATCAGAAGGTGGTAATGAATTCAAACATTCATGTGCCGAACATTTTAACTAGAAGCAAAATTCAAAGAAATTTAACTCCAATAATTGCAGTTTCAAATATCAGATGGTATATTCAAATCATGCAATAATGTACATGTACATTGCATTATTGACTATTGAAAGCAAAGTTCTATAAGTTTGTCTTAATTTTAAATGAAGACCTTTACTTCCCTCTATTCCAGTATCAAATATCAAATATATATATATTTGGATTGGATTATGAATCATTTATCACTGTGCATCATACTGTTAATTATTCTAAAACAAATCTATTAATTTTTTACCAACATTTTAAAGAAAATTGGTTGAAACTAATAGTGCTATTTCTCTCCCATGCAAAATAAAATATCAAAAAAGTAATGAAATAATGCATGACTGTTTGATATCTATATAATATTGGATAGCCTTGAGTGTGATACAAGAATATATTGCTTGAGCTACATTGTATGACAATATTGAACAAGTCAAAGACGAGTCCAATATTGTCTCTCAGTGAGAGCAATATATTCTTGAATCACAGGTAAACAAAGCCATGCAATATGATTATTATTACATGTATCTATATTAGTCTGACCAGTGTAATTAAAAAAAAATTGACCTCAATAAATATGGCTTTGTTTTTGTGTGACATCGATATCAATAGTTGAATTTCCCCGGATGACTGAGCAATATGAGAACAATATTAGTCAGTCATCCGGGTACTGCGCCAAAGATATTGAATACACTGATTTATTGAACCACTTGGAAGCCTTACATAGATAATAATGATTAGTATTTGGGGAAATTTATTGACTTCACCTCATTTTCCTTCTTTTCATTCCAAAAGAGCTTTTACAATTCTTAACTCTCTACATTACAGTATCCAATATCAAAATGCATTAAAGCAATTAAGAGAAAATCCTTTTGTATCATATTGCTACTTTGTGTAAATGTTTGAGTAAATCTTTGAGTATAAATCAGAGCTACCAAACTCCAGAACAGAAAATTAGTAATCACAAGGCTCAAAATCAGTAATTTTCTACACTGTATGCAGCGCTAGGAATCTAAAAAACGGCACGCCAACACTGCGCGGACGCATGGGCGTATGATTATCTGAAATTTTCCTCACACAAAGTTGTTAAATATTGATTTTCAGGTCATCACAACACAGTTTTCCATGAAAAATGGCTCCTATTAGAGAATACTTGATCCTTTTCTGTCTTTTTCTGTGTGTGTTGGTTGGCCGCCATACTTCACAGCACTCGCTACGATATTTAAAATTAAATATAAATATATATATATATATATATATATATATATACTTTTTTATTTTTTATTTTTTTTAAATCCGTAATTTGAGACAACATTACTGATCGTTAATTTCCATACCAATTACGGAAAATCCGTACTAGTTGGCAGCTCTGATAAATGCATGTCTTTATTTACTTCTGAACTTTACTACCAGAGACACTGGGTCATGACATTAAAATATTTTTCTTTTCCGCATCCTCCTAGTACCAAAATGATTACAAACTGGATGATGATTTAATGAAATGGAATTTTTAAAATGTATTTTTAGGTCAAGCTCATTATTCTTTTACATAAATTGTGCAACAACCAGTCAATAGCATTCACTGTCTTTTAATTGATTTGTACTTCTACAATAAAATGTATAGTGTGTGGTAAAATGGTAAATGACTGAGTAAAAAGATTTGATCACCTTGTAATGTACTGATATGCAAGTTTCTACAACTCTTCTGAATTGAAGAAAGTTGTGAGATGTTTATAATTATAAGTTATAACCGTAATGAGTGCTACTCCAGGATGTACAGATTTGACAGTTTTTGTGTTCCTACTTAAGAAAAAAAAAGAGGAAAATTTGCCTCTGTTCTTAAACCATTTTATCATTCAGAGTTTAATACAATTTTCTTTTCACATATTGAGGGAAGTGGTAAAGGATCAAATTCATGCATGATTGCACATACACTTTGGTTTTTTCTTCAATTTTTGTACAAAACTTACAGTCACACTACCGGTAAGTTCTTTATCACTAGATGTACATGAACTGTAGGTGTAAAATGTACATTGGTGCAACTTTGGTTCATGTATTTAGCAAAGTTTTGCAGGTAAGTCTGTCTACCTGCCCAGCCACCTAGCCCAGGAAGATGAAGACACATACACTGGTATTTTGTCCCATGGATATATTAGTCTGACTGCATCATTTAGAGTACATGTACATCTACACCAGTCTTTGATTCTTAATAAATATCAAGAAACACTAATCTTCAATATGAATTATGCTAATTACTACAGGATTTGTATCAAGAAATGAGATAACCAAATGATGACCAAATTGATATGAATTTTTGTTTAAACAGTAGAGGATTAACTGGCCATGCAGAGGTATTTTGGCTCAGTCAGTAGAGCGTCTGCCTCACAACCGGGAGGTCGTGGGTTCAAACCCCAGCCGCGTCATACCAAAAGAGGTTAAAAGACGGGAGTCGCTGCTACCTTGTTTGGCATTCAGCAATATTAGGGATAGAGCAACGACGATCTGGCGCTGCTCAGTGGCTGCCGGGCTCACGATCGATTGGGCAAAAAGAATTTCCATTTTTTTGGTTTAATAAAATTTGGAGTCGACTTTAAAAGATTATTATTATTATTATTATTATTATTATTATTTCCAATAACAACACCTTTCTCTTCGTGTTGGGCCACATGTGACACCCACACACACAAACACATATCACACCAACGCCCACATCCACGCATCACACCCACACAAAACATCGTTTATCACACACGCACAAATCACAAACACACAACTACAGGGAAATGGCGTCAACCGTGGACCAAGTTTAGTACTTGTGTGTGTGTGCGTAGGTAATCACCAGCAACCGCGGACTACTCTATAGAAAACTACATCAAACCGCGGACGTACCTCCTATGGGATGATCCAGGTAGCAAGCGCCTCTCCCGCGCAGTCAAAAGGGGGCGCTGTGACATTTTGCGATACACATCGGACTGATCCAGTCGATGTTGCCTACACGCTGTGACATCTAATATTCAAACACCCCCTACTTCTTTAATTTGATACGGCGGAACCGGTATCGCAACAGTGGACGGTCCCCCATTGCAGGTACGTCCGCGGTTTGAGGTACATGTAGTTTTCTATGGAGTGGTCGAAGGTTGCTGGCGTTTTCCTACGCACCACCCTCAACACACACCCACATCACACCAAAACACACACATATAACACCTACACACACACACACACGCACCACATCATACACTTTACACAACACAACACCTGCAAAGTACACCCACAAAGCAGCCCATATGCTCACAAAAGCATAAATAATTTCTCCAAATACACATATACTCCAAATATTTTCAGTCCACTTAATATACATGTAAGTATGACCAGTATTTGGAAAATATTTTGCCTGAATATATATATCTCCAGTTTACTACCTGTATTTATATGAGTGTTCTGAAATTTGATCAGGAATATGTAACATTTTCTAACAAGTTTTTAAAATTTTTTAACTAAAGCTATTTTCACAAAAAAGAATCTTCCATAAAGTGCAAAAATATCAGTGTGTCGTAATTCATATATTTTGCAGAATTAATTTTGCGCAAACCGGGACAACTTGAAAATTCATTTACATTAAAGGATCTGGTTTTACAGTAATCCATTTGGAATTTTCTCCCAATCATCCAGTCACAGACTGGTCATAAGAGAGGCATATAGTGTTTGAATCCATCTCACCTCCATGATCTGGCTATGCTTCTCGTAGAACTTGGCAAACTCCACCCACAGCGTGTGGAGCTTCCCTGTCGCTAGCTGAGGGGTCACCGTCTGAACAGCCTCTGTGTAGGTGTTAATGACCTGGTGCACAAGAGAGGACAAAGACATGCATGTAAATGTACATGTAGATGATGAAATGAAGAAAACTAGATGGAACTTCGACTGCGCGCAGTCGAAAATGATGCCTCCGTCATAGAGCAAGTTTACAAACCAAAAAGCAATTTCTCATATACATATATGACCCTTTGATCTTTGACCTCTTGACCCTAAAATGTACTCAGTTGTCCTGAGTTAAATAGTAATCCATCTGTCAGTTCTAATGAGAATGCGTTCACAAGCTATTTTTGCATACATAATGAGCCCATGACATTTGACCTTTGACCTCATGACCCAAGAATCTACTCAGTTCATTGGCTCTGCAAGATACATCCATGATCTAAGTTTGGCAGGAATCCATCAATATGTTCTAATGATAATGCGATCACAAGCTATTTTTTGCATACATAATGAGCCACATGACCTTTGACCTTGACCAAGACCCCAAAATCTAATCAGTTCATCGGCTCTGAAAGTAACATACATGACCTAAGTTTGGCAGGAATCCATCTATCGGTTCTTGAGATAACGCGATCACGAGCTGTTTTTGCATACATAATGAGCCCTGTGACCTTTGACCTTTGACCTCGTGACCCCAAAATCTAATCAGTTCATCGGCTCTGCAAGATACATACATGACCAAAGTTTGGCAGGAATCCATCAATCGGTTCTAATGATAATGCGATCACAAGCTATTTTTTGCATACATAATGAGCCGCATGACCTTTGACCTTGACCAAGACCCCAAAATCTAATCAGTTCATCGGCTCTGCAAGTAACATACATGACCTAAGTTTGGCAGGAATCCATCAATCAGTTCTTCAGATAACGCGATCACGAGCTGTTTTTGCCTACATAATGAGTCCTGTGACCTTTGACCTTTGACCTCGTGACCCCAAAATCTAATCAGTTCATCGGCTCTGCCAGATACATACATGACCAAAGTTTGGCAGGAATCCATCAATCGGTTCTTCAGATAACGCGATCACAAGAACGGGACGTACGGACGGACGGACAACCAAAAAACATAATGCCTCCGGCTACTTCGTAACGGAGGCATAAAAAATGTGAGGCACTGTCTGAACACCCTCCCTGAAAGTGTTCATTACCTAACAGAAGCTCCAGCGACAATTAGTCTAGGTCTAAAACTAATCAAATTTGTATCTTTGACAGAGAGTTGAACCCTATATCTACATGTTACTCTATAACTCAATTGCAACCCAAGTCCTAGTGACCTCTCTCTTTCTTTCTTTCTTTCTTTCTCTCTCTTTCCCTCCCCCTCTCTCTTTCTCCTTCTCTCTCTCTCTCTCTAGTAGTAGTACCGTAAATCTCCGTGTATAAGACACACTTTTTTCCCCGCCGAAAAAAATTTGAAAGACAGGGGTGCATCTTATACACAGGTATAATGTTTTTAATATTTTTTTTTTTTTTTTTTTTTAAGTGTCAGTGTCAGTCATACAAGTGTGTTGACTCACAACTCTGAAACTAGAACAACACTACCTGTATGGCCAGATTTCTGTTTGGACTTAGAGGAAAATTTGTCTGTCATCTTTAGTTTTAAAACAACATTTTTATTATTATATGTGACAAGTTCACAAGCACAAATCTGCGCCTTCAACTGCACCTCGCAGTAAAATAAAGGTCCTTCGCCGCGTGGGTTTTTGAACACGGACCTGGCCTGCTGTCTACGGAGTTGGCCCCCCCCCCAAAAAAAAAGGGTGCGGCTTATGCACAGTTGCGTCTTATACACAGAGATCTTTGGTAGTAGTAGTAGTATTAATATTATCTAAATGAATTGTGCATTCAACTTACTTCTTTAGGCTTCCCCTCAAAGAGTTTAGCCCTCTTGTGCCACTCATGGACATTGTGGGGATTCTGCCTCAATAGGACACTATTCAACAACAGAGGGCGTCTGTCCATCAGGTCTTCAAACCGTTCCAGTCTCAGCTCTATGTCGATGTCATCTAGACAGATAGAAACGAAGAAAAAAAAAATCTTCTTATTAGAATCAGTTCAATTTCATTTAAGAAATGGTTTATGAGATAACACATTTTGCAGCGATAAGCTAAATGGCATATGTTTATACAACATTTAAAAATAACACTAAACATTCTCATCAAATACCATAATATACAAATTTGTTATAAATGTTGTCTAATTACAATTCTTCACAATATAAAGATAAAATACATCATTCTTTCTGGGAAAACCCTATACGAATACTATCAATAAAAAGCTAAATAACTATCATAATTAATTTATTGTTAAAACCAATAAACATATACAGTGCGATCGATTCAAATCATTTGCAGCTCTATCTAAAGAGATAGGAGTTTGTAAGTTTACAAGTAATTGAAGGACTTGTAATTAATCCAGATAAATTAAAACTAACTGGATGAGAGGACAAAATGTTCTGTTTCCAAAAACCATGCTATTGCTCAGAGACACTTCTCTACAAGGATGAAGTTTCAACGGTATAAAGGCACTTTTTCTTCCATGTCGACTGGACTAGCACAAAATAATAATAATAATCTAGACTTATAAAGCGCTTAATACAGAAAACCGTCTCTAAGCGCTTCACAGATATTATAACCCTGTCATCGGTTTCATTCACCCACAATGAGCACCATCTCTACTCCCTGGGGAGTATCCCTACCATATGGTCACCGTGAGGGCATAGGAAATTACTAACACATGCTTTCACCATCCTACCACGGTTCCCATTTCTCTCTTGGGTATTGAGCGGCAAATGTAGATTAATGCCTTGCCAAAGGACATTAGTGCCGTGTCAGGGATCAAACCATGACCTTTGAAGTGCTTAAACCACTCGACTAATCAAGCTTACCATCTTCTGTTGAACCAGACTCCGCGGAGGTTTCCATCTTTGCTTTCAGCATACTCTCCTCAAACTGAGCATAGGCATCAAACACCTTCAAATTCAACCAAAAAAAAAAAAGTTTAATTATTTGAATTTTATAGTCTTTAAAGATAAAGTACAGTTCTGGGCCCTGTTTCATAAAACTTGATTTCAATCACAAGTTACAATAATTGTTATAGAGAGCAAATTTGTCATAATAATAATAATAATAATAATGAACGTTATTTGTATAGCGCATATCACTCACACAAAGAAAGTCCCTATGCGCTTAGAAATGAAGGAAAGGGGCGGAATAGAAATAAACATTTATGCCTGATACATGGAAATAATTAATTACAAACAACAATAATGATACACAATTCCTACATAGCTTACATGAAATATATTGTAAATTCAGGTAATATAAATTTAAACATGAAAAAACATGAAAATTAGATGAAAATTAAATTAAATATTAAATATGTTCATGATACTATAACCAAAGAAGTCACTAAACAGCTGGAACAAAATTAACAATTTACAAAAAGATGGGTCTTCAACAGAGTTTTAAATGATTCTGTTGTGCTTGCCTGTTTGACAGCATCAGGCAAGCTGTTCCACAATTCGGCCGAAGAATTCCTGAAGGAGCGAGTGCCATAATATTTTGTTTGAGTGCTTTGAGCTACTAGGAGGGATTTACTATTTGATCTTAAGTTTCTTGTAGGGGTATATTGTAGAATGAGATCTTGGAGGTAAGACGGGGCTGTACGGTTTAGGCATTGATATGTCAGTAAAAGGATCTTATAATTAATACGGGATTTAACTGGCAGCCAGTGCAATTGTTAAGTATGGGCGTTATATGTTCTCTGCGTTTAGTTCTAGTGATTAGCCTGGCTGCTGAGTTTTGGATTCTTTGTAATTTATTGGTGTGAACATCAGGAAGAGAATAAAGTAAACTATTGCAAAAATCTATGCGAGATATAACCAGGGCATGAACCAGCTGCTTAGTAGCTTCTTTGGTTAGAAATTTAGCATTTGCTATTGAAAACAAGTTCGGATTCAGGCTTACCCCCAAAGACACAATGTATGCACATTTTCCACTCCCTGAGTGGCATTGGTAGATTCCGTGTGGTTGTGCAAAAAGTCATGTGCACTTTTAATGTGTATATTAGAGAAAACAAACATGTGGCATGAAAGTTTGGTCCGACACTTAATAGCTGTTACTTGTTATATTTTAAATATGAGTGCATTTGAAGAGCTGTCCTTTTGGGGGATATATTTTTTTACGATACTCTTCTTCAGTAACATAAAAAGAATGAAAAAGGTCCCCAAATTGATTTTATCACCTTTCCCAGAACTCAACCTTCTCTTTAATACAGACATTTTAAAGCACTTTACATAATTATACTACATGTATCTTTGTACACATAATGTACTATATTGAATGCACACAATATGTGCACTCTCTCCACTCCCTGAGGGTCATCATGAGGGCATGTAACAATTTCATTCACAGTATCTTTCTGCATCCTACCAAGTTCCCTTTTACCTCCCATGTGCATGGTATAGTTAAGATAGATTTATAGTGCATTATAGTGCCTTGCTAAAAAACTTAAGTTCCTTGCAAGGGGCTTGAACTCACAAGCAGAGCCTATTTTACTAACGAGGAAAAAAATAAAAACTTTACGTACGACCTAAAAATTTGAAATCAAGAGTAAGGAGTTATTGTAATGACATGATTGCAGGGCCCTTAAGGAGAACAGTATGAATACTGATGAGGCTACCCTGGGTAACAAGACATATCATTATTATTATTATTATTATTATTATTATTATTATTATTATTATTATTATTATTATTATTATTGTTAGTTAATCTTACCTGGGTGAAATCCCTGACAGTTTTCACTGTAAAGATGGCTTCTTCATAGATGTCCCTTGCCTGAATAAAAGAAATTTAAAGATAAAAGATAATGTAATAGTTGCACAGGTATTATAGTCCAGAATCTTGGAAGACCAAAACAAAATTAAAAGGTGGCCTTATTTGTACTTAAATAGTTCCGTCAAATTCCCTTTTTTTTTAATTGAGCAACATATTATGGTGCCCACCTGTCAGAGATCTACTACTTTAAATGAAATAAAAAATTCAAAACATACATCACAAATTCAATCTGAAATCTAAGGTTTTTCCACATTGAACACAGGTTTGTTATTTTAGTCCTATCAAAAACAAGGTTTCTTATTAATCTGAAAATAAGAAAAAGGTCTTTTGCTGATTTAATACTTAACATCCTTGTTTGAATAAAGACATTTTACACTCATTAATAGTTTCTTGGCAATAACTAAAGTACAATCCTATCTAAAGTGATCAGTTATATATATGGGGCCTGTCACCATGAAATGAGTCCAGTTGGTCTAAAATTTTATTCCTGTTTTTAAGTATTATATGAATCTACATTAAGTAAGCTTTAAATTAAGGGGTCACACATTAAAATTGATAAATTATATCCAGAAATATGAACAAAAACCTAATTTGACTTTATAAACAATGGGATTACCCAGTTTTAAAAATGCATCATTTTCGTGATAATTTCAGATTACATAGCCTATATTATTTGCCAAAAAATGTTAGAAGGAGATATTTTCGTGACCTAAGCTCTGGGGACATAAACTACAAGACATTAATAAGTCGATTTTTGGAAAAATCTTAAATGTGGTAGGTGGGTCAATTTTCAGTACATACACACTATACATCGCTATTACTACGATTGAGCCTAATGCGACACTGGACTCATTTTGTGGTGACTGGCCCCATATAGTTCCCTTTTTACTTCGTAGGGCTACCTGCCTACTTAACTCTTTCTATGCCAACACAAATAATCTCCCTGTGCCACGTTGTATTTAACATGGGATAGATAAACCGAAGCTTCAAGATCCATACAGCTTCCAGAGCAAGATTAATCTAAACTTGGGGGTGTTTCACAAAGATCGAACTTAACTAAGTTGGACTTAGAGAGCCATTTGTAGCCTTAAAATAAAATATATTCAAAAGTGAAAATTCAAATATTTTAGACTTTTTATAAATTCCACATCAAGAATATGAAATCTCCTTGATAAAAGAAAATATGAATGATTTGTATCAACATTTTTTACCTTTTAAAATAACTTATACAACATATTTTCATAGATGCTGATGGCTTTCCATAATTGTTAAGTCTAACATAGAGTTAAATTCAACTTAAGCGAAGAGTTAACGAAGCACTCACCTTCTCAAAGTGACCGCTCCTGATGTAGTAGTCAGCCAGAGAGCACCACAGTTTCCCCCTCTCATCGCTGAAGCGTTTGATCCCTCCCCGGATAATGGGATCGACCTTGAGCGACGTGACCTTGGTCGGGTGCTTGCAGATCAAGTCACAGAGGTCATGCCACAGCTGTATAACGGAATGTTATAAAAATGATATATTAATGATAATAATAATAATAATGATAATAATTACGATAGTAACAACATTAATTATTATTATTTATTGTTACAATTACAATAATCTGAGATTATACAGAGTCAATTATGTAAATCTCTTAACTACTGTTCGGGATATGCCTCCACAAGGCCAATTGGCCTTATTTTTTAGTTCCCTAGTTTCATTTTCTTATATATTGCAAATGCTTATTATTGTATATATCTTTGAATTGTTTTTATTGAAAATGGAAATTGAAATTGAAATGAATGAAACAAATTGAACGAATTGAATTACATCTACAATGAGTCAAGGACACCATTCTCATTGTAAGGGTGGACTGTGGGTGGGTAGTGCTATCGTGATGTGAACCAAGGCTTGTGCTGTGGACGTCCACTGGCACTCATTGCATCTACATCTGCAGTCAGTTGGGGCAATCTACCAGAGGCCTTTCCTCGTCTTGTTGCCATGACTCCTACACATACCATAGTACGCATTTCCCGTGTTATAACTAAGCCGCTACTTGATTTTACACATGAAAGCTGATCAAAGTCTAACCATTTCAGGGGTGCAACGCAACTCTTTCAAATCGACTTTTAATGAGAACACTGGGGGTGTTTCACAAAGACTAAGATCGACTTTAAGTTGGACTTAACTATGTCAGGCCGTTCATGCCACTGGTTACTCTCACCGTTATGATCTTTAGATAATACTTTTTCCTTCAATAATGAATTATCAAAAAGTGTGAATTCTGTATGTTGTGACCATAATTTGTATGTCCCTTGAAAGACAAATGGCAGTAAATGGTGAGAGCAAACAGTGGCATGAAAGGCCTGCCATAGTTAAGTCCAACTTAAAGTCGATCTTAAAGTCGATCTTAGTCTTTGTGAAACGCTCCCCAGGTCTAAGTGCCTCACCTGGTGGTTTGATTTTCCCTCTTTGGACACAAAGGCCTCCTGATTTACGATGTCTGCCAAACGAACAGCGCCCTCGTCCAAGCGCAAAATGTCAACCAGGTACTCAATGTACTCCTCAGCATTCTCAGAACACAGCTGCAAAAATGAAGAAAATGTACATCCTGAGCATCAATAATCGTAACTATTTTATGGGCATGAAAAACCTCACATTATTCTTCTTCTCATATCAACGTTGTATGGACAAGCATGCTGTATAACTCTCGCTATCGCCAATAGTACCCCCAAATGTATGGATGTTAGTTACTTTCACGACCCCATTTCAAATGCACTCTGAGATAGCTTGGTGACTTTCTCGCTGCCGGCTTTTTTGGTGTGACTGCACTTTGCTGTCCGGTCTCGGCCGCCATAGTGCGGCCGTTAGTCACCGATCTAGCTGTCTATACAGTGTGATCCAGAAAAAACATAACCAAGAAAAAATAATGTTTCATTATAACTTGTGTCACACGACCTCTAACATACCTTGAGGTACCTCCTGTACACCCGGACGGCCGTCTCCTGGAGCGGCATGGAGCGGACAAACTTGAGGTAGAGGGGCCAGATCCTGTGATGCTGGGAGATGGGCATGGCCCTCAGGGCGCGGTCGAACGTCCGGCGCGTCCGGGCGACCTTGCACTGGTCCATCAAGAACTGGCAGTAGTCCAGCCAGATTCGGGGCATCTGGAAAATAAAGGTCAGGTGGCATTTAATGATGAATTTTTTTCTTTTTAGCAATCCCAGGGGTGTTAGTGAGCACTAAAAAAAAAGGTTTATTTTTTTTCCTCAACGACGCCCCCCTTGAGTAAAAAAAGAAGAAGAGGATTCGGGGGAAAAAAATGGCTTCTAACAACATTCCCCCCTTTTGAGTAAGAAAATTGGGAAAAATTGGGGAAAAATTGGAGAAAAATAGGGGAAAAATAGGGGAGATTAGAGAAAATAAGGGAAAAATCAGGAACAAATCGAGAAACCGACTCAAATCCGGTAAATTATCAGGCCTCTAATCCTAAAGTTCCAGGGTTTACTTTTATTCTTTCTTTTTATATACATACAGTAAAACTGGTCTTAGTGTCTTCCTGTGTGGGCCACCCGTCTATGGTGGGTACCTCATTTGCCTCCCATTAGAACGAAGATGGATCTTATACCAATGGGCACCAGTGCATAGACTTGTTTTTGAACCTGGGACCTCCAGGCTACCAGACCACTGAGCCATCGCACTCCACTACTGAAATTGAACGTCCTTGACTCACCTTGTGCATGAAGACCAAGGCTCTCTCAAAGGCATTGTTGACATCCTCGTATCCAGGGTCCGTGATGCAACGGCCCTTGATCGCCTTCCTTCTCAGCTTCAGGTAGTTATACCAGAGCTTGTAGCTGTAATAAAGACAATATTTTTGGCATATTAATATCATTCTTGAAATGATACTTTTAAAGGCATCGTTTAACAATGTTGAATCTGAGATGCATGGCCCTACGCCTCAAAAAAGCTAAAAATCTTTGAGTGACCGGTTTTACTATACTTGTTTACCCCAATAGACTGTAGTGTTATGAAAACCGTTAGGAAAACACAAAATTTGTTTTAGATTTCCAATCATAAATATCTTGATAATCAGACAGGCTTGTAAAAGTCATGGGGTTCCTGACTGACCGAAAAGTCTATAATTATCATTGAAGCATGAGCTAAATCCATGATTTTGTTTCAGAATCTGAGATGAAGTTACCCGATCCCTTTAATATCACACTTGAGATGATGCTTTTAATGGTATTCAAAAACCTCCGCAACAACCTCAGTTTTTTTACAAGGAACTCTTAGGAAAAGCACCTTTGGCTTGGGGGCACCCATTGTAAAAATTGTAAAAATTGTAAAAAGGGTCCGTGATGAAACGGCCCTTGATGGGGTGGGGGGGGGGGGGGGTCGGATAAGAGCACATATATTTGTTTGAAACCAAAGCGTCTCAACCCTAAAAAAAATAGCGAAACTATTTTTGAGGAAAAGCATTATACTGAACTGAAGAAAGAATAATAACTTTATATTGGCTCATACTAATACTGATACGGACTAAAGACAATGTGGTATCAGCACAGAAAGATCAGGTATTTGTATACATGTAGGTATTCCAAAATGACATTCTGATCGATGATCAACATTTTGTTCTGTTATCATATTTATATACGCATAATGCAACTGATCTTTATGATTTCTTAACGTGACATAGCTTCTTCTCCCCCTGCATATAAAAAAGAAAACAAGGTTATTTAATAAAAGGATCATGCGACAAAATGATCATTGTGATTCAAATTGATGCAAGGATTTTTTTGAATCAGCAATGCTTTTCACCAGAATCTTCTTTGTAAAAACGACTTTTACAAATCTTAGCCATGCAATTCTGCCACTGTGTTGTAAGATCACTTTCAGATTTGGAGAAGTGTATTCTTCAATGAGTATTTTAATTTGAATGGAACGTCTCACCTCAGTAAGCATGGCTGAGATTTGTAAAAGTTGTTTTTACGAAGAAGATTCTGGTGAATAGCAGTGCTTATTCAAACAAATATTTGCATCAATTTGAATCACCATCATTATCTGTTGCTTAATCCCTTTTAATGACCTTGTTTTCTTTCTCGTTTGCAAGGGGAGAAGAAGATATGTCAAAGACATCATAAAGATCAGTGTTGTATGCGTATACACAGGCCCCGCAGGCGTAATTTTTTTTTACACGCTAGCCTGGCCATTGCAATGATAAATACCATGGAAGCGACTAATATTAGAGTCTAGCAGCCTACATGCGAGGTATTACAGATGTACAAATACATCATGACATGCATGCATAGCAATCATCAGATGCAGACCTAGCTGGCCCTTGTAAATGAGACAGCCATCGCAGCCATCGGGCGATGGAATTCAAAAGTTTAATTTAATTGTGTCACTGGCAGGTCAGGGGGGCCATTTAAATAAAAAAAAAATTTTTAGGTAAAATTTATGTTACTATCCCTATTTTTTTTTACCGGTTTGTGAGACTACGGGGGGAGGGGGGGCGTGCTGGTAGAATCGGCCCGTGGATCCGCGCCTGCCTCCCCCCCCCCCCCCCCTTTCCTTACATGCAGGGCATGATAGTACAGGCAGAAGCTTCTAAGGACAATATCTAACAGAGTGGCCTCTGTTGATTCCCACATTGGGAGTTTGTGTTGCTTTCAATCTATGATCTAGTTTGTATTTATTATGTTTATTCCCATTGTTTGTGACACTGAAAATCTGAAATGAACCAAGAGTACACTACCGGTAATGGTTTCTGAGAGGTACTTACATGTACATGAACCTGGACAAGACGGTCCAGAATTACTTCTTTCTCTTTTCAAAGTTGTCCCCAATTTGTAACTTTTATGTATTCACACTAGTGGGAAAGTTTTACATTACAACGTTCCTACAAACGTAAAGCTCATGTAACTCCCCCCCCCCCCCTACCTTCCTCATAGATGAGATGTATTCACACTTGTGGGAAAGTTTTACATTACAACGTTCCTACAAACGTAAAGCACATGTAACTTCCCCCCCTACCTTCCTCATAGATGAGATGTATTCACACTTGTGGGAAAGTTTTACATTACAACGTTCCTACAAACGTAAAGCACATGGAACATTTTTGCCCCCTACCTTCCTCATAGATGAGATGTATTCACACTTGTGGGAAAGTTTTACAATACAACGTTCCTACAAACATAAAGCACATTTAACTTTTTTTTTCACTACCTTCCTCATACATGTAGATGAGATGTATTCACACTAGTGGGAAAGTTTTACATTAAAATGTTCCTACAAACGTAAAGCACATGAAACTTGTCGATTTTTCCACCTACCTTCCTGGTAATTCCTTAAGGGCTCTCTCATAGATGAGATGTATTCACGCTATTGGGAAAGTTTTACATTACAACGTTGCTAAAAATGTAAAGCACATGTAACTTTTTTCCCCCCCTACCTTCCTGGTAATTCCTTGAGGGCTCTCTCATAATTGAGATGTATTCACACTATTGGGAAGGTTTTACATTAATACGTTCCTACAAACGTAAAGCACATGAAACTTGTCGATTTTTCCACCTACCTTCCTGGTAATTCCTTGAGGGCCCTCTCATAGATGAGATGTAGTCCTGCCGGGGGGCCTTTAGATTTGTGCTCGGTATAACGCAGCCAACACTTGACAGAGAACGGATGACGTAAGATCTCCTCCTCATAGGCCAAGTCATCCTCTTCCTAAGGGCACAAACAAAATGAATAAATACAAATAAATGAATAAATGAATAAATGAATAAATGAATAAATGAATAATTGAATAAATACAATTTAAGTTAAGTTTCAAGTTTTATTTCAATTCAAATCCATAAAAAAACATATAAGATACAGATACATACAATATAGAAAACACAGAACACACAATTGTAGAGGTGTTATGGTCTAGTGGATATGCAAGTCGCCAGACTGTGAACCTCAGCGGGTTTGAGTCCCTGCAACAGCACCGATATCCTTTGGCAACTCTATATTTTGTCTTTACAGAGCACTAGCACTCTCGATACAAGAGTATGGCATTCCAGCTTGGCACCCAAGGACATGTTCCCAGGAAAACAAACTTGAACGGATCCAGAGGACCACGCGTATTGCACTGAATCAATCTCGTGGAGTGGTGCCATACAACGAGAGACTCCGCTCTCTCAATTGGTAATTCACCTGTTTCTCGTAGATACAACCTTTTGTGTTCTTTTGCCATGAAATGTCTATACGGTCTATGTGATTGATTTCAGCTCTGCTTGATAACATGCTCATCAATCCTCGCCCCCCCCCCCCACACTCTGTCCTTTCGCCATCTTCCTTCTCCTACTAATTCTCTGTTCTTCTCTCCTTCAAGGCGACTTCCAAGACTTTGGGACACTCTTCCCATCATTGTCAGAGATGAGGCAGTGGTATCCTCTCTGTCTTCTTTTCTTCGGGTCTCAAAAGCAGCAATATTAGATAGTGCCTAGTTGTAGTGTTATCTCATCCGGTTATCCATGTACATGTATCTATATTACCTCACTTTATATCCTCTGACTAGTTTCCATTTATTTTTCTTAATAGATATCTTGCCATGATGCTGGACTATATATATTACATATAACAATTGTATTGTACTTAATTACTTTAACTTCTTTATTAAATATTAATAGACTTACCGTACTGATATAGACATGCTTTGTTCAGGCCTACATGTATATAACATTGAGCTAGGTATTATTATTATTATATTCTCTGTATACTTTTATTTTTTTTTATCATTTATACACTTACATTTTGATACTGTTTTAGGCCCTTGCATACTGTAGGCTTTGTATCCTGCGTCTTTAACTAAATACATTATGTCTGATTTCAAAGATTTGTCTCCACCCTGTTGAAGATACCAGCCTCCCTTTCTCTTTAATTTTTCATTACTTTAGTATAATGCTGCTTGTATCATGATTTTAATCGACCTCTGTACTCCTAAATAGGCTAAACAATATCCTTACTTGTAGGAATATGCGATATGTAATAAATGTGTAGTTTTAGTTTTAGTTTTTGGAGGGAGGGGGGGGGGGAATAAGTTAGGGGGGAGTTAAGATGTATTTTTTTGTAAAACAATGTGCAATATTGTTTGTGTGTATGTCAATGTTATGTTTACATCTAAGATGATTTGGGAGCAACCTGTGAGGGCTCACATGCCTCCAGGTAATAGCGTTGAATTTCACTTTTGTGAGCCCTGGCCCACACATTGCTCCCTTCCTTTTCCTCTTGTATTGTTTATGTATTGCACGATCTGTCAAAATGTCATTGTATTGTGCTTTTAAGATTGGCCTAATAAATAATAATAATAAAAAGACAAAAGTTTTAGTCTAAAACATTCCAAAAATCAACTTAGTCATCATCAATTGTTCAAATAATAGTCATGAGATACAGTCATTATATTTCTTACCACTTTTGTGTCAATTTTCTTATCTTTTTCGGAGTAATTTTCCTAAAAAAAGACATTATAATATATTTCTCACAGGTTTCACGGCAAACCGCTGCACAATTACATTGCAATTAGCCAATTACATACCGTACCGACGAAGGGGTGCGGGCATGGGAGCTAAGGCTGTGCACGACAACAGTGCTTAGGTACATCGTTGGATCGGTGTATTGAGCGCTATATAAAAACCGGATTGTTATTATTAATGAGATACCCGAGTACACTCCCAGGCTTACAAGCGAATACTTGAATATTCGGACGCCATGTTTTTTTATAATTTTTGGGATTTTTTTTTGGATTTAAAAAAAAAAAAATTTGCCACCGCCATACCGCTGGAGCACTATCCCAGGTCCGTCGCCGAAAACGCATGCAATTTTACTTCGAGTTGCAGTTGAAGGCGCCGATTTAATAATAATAACGACAGTCAACAATGCTGTTTTAAAAACCAAACATGGCAGAATAATCCATTTTCCTCCAAGTCCAAACAGAAATCTGGATATTTGGTCCCAGTTTCTGAGTGGTGAGTTCGACAGTGCTTGAATTGGGAAACATTTTTACCGACGGCACCATGCCAGCGGCCACCGCTCTCCCTGGCACGGTTAAGCGTTGGCCTTGACAGTGCCAGGTGACCGGGATTTTTTTTTTTTGCGGCCGAATATTTGAGTACGAGAAATTGTACCCGAGTAGTTGTCAACAGTGAGGGTACTCGAGCATTCAACTACACGTCGCAGCCCTAGTGGGAGCGTGCGTGAAGTTATCGACTGTAACTTCACGCACGCATGGTATTGTAATTGTGCGGCGGTTTGCCGTGAAACCTGTAAGAAAGTGTATATTATAATGACTTGGTTTTTAGGAAAATTACTCCAAAAGAGACAAGAAAATTGACATAAAACAGGTAAGAAACATAACAAGTTTTAAATCATGACCTTTATTTGAAAAATTGATGGAGATTTAGATGTCGTTGATTTTTGGTATGTTTTATTAGGCTTTCTCCACGCCGGAGATACGGGTAAAAAATGGATACGAAAGTACACTAGTACCACACAATAATGACAAGAAAATTTTTGTCATTTTCAAGTGAACTATATTACCGGTACTTATAGTTAATATAACTTATATTATAACATGATTGACCCTACACATACACATAATCAGTCATACTCATAGATTTAATCAAACAATTACACAAACTAAAAAAACAAAAGTAGGGTCTAAATAATAAGAAACAACAAAAAATCACCAAAATATGCATTAATCTTTGTCGTATTTGTTGAATGACATGAAACCAAGACAAGGTCACACAAGAGCCGTTTCAACTGTTATTGTCTTTGTGAAGTTTGTCACTTGTCAGTTGTCAACATCAACACAACATAGATTCTAGTCAACGACAACAGCTTCATTTCAATTTCAACAAATTCACGCCGGTGACCTGGAGTTACGAATTTATAATATTCCTAAACAAGAGCAGTCTTACTTAGTTAACATATACTATGCAAGATGAGATCATATTTTAGCTCAATATCAACAGTTTGAATGACGTTTATTACAAACAAAAGTAAATAAAAATAGGCTTTTGCTTTTTCTCATTACCAGAACACCGCGCCGGTAAGCGTCGAGCGGTCATTCGAGCTGATGGTCCCCGCAACTCACGGCTATATTCATAGCAAAGCCGATGAGAAACTCATCCGGAGGGCTCGACCGAAAGGTTACATACATCAAACAAACATAGAAGAAAAGAATACTCACAAATATCAAATCTCTCGAGTGCTCAGGTCCTGATATCGGCATACTTCCTCCTGAAGTCAGACTATATATATATTATATATATTCCACAATTTTATAGACAGATTCAAAAGATAAATGAGCGATATATCGTTGCCCCAACGTGAGTTATTACCTTGCAGATATTGAGCGTTGAGGGAGACATTCCAATTTTCAGTCATATTTAAATCTTTTTGATTGCAAATTTTGTTGGCATTTTTTTGAACAACTTCTCAGGGTGTATAGATTCTTGGAGGGGGTGTCCCACAAACCTGAGATCTTCGTAGATAAAAGAGCATACAATTCCAATTATTGCAATTTGCCCCCATGTCCCTCTTTTCCATCACCAGCCTTGCTGGTGCAAAACCTTGGCTCGATCACTTTCAGAAAGAAAACAAAAAGTAGGAGAAAAGGTTATTGTGAGAGCTGATCATCACCGATTTAATTGATTGATTAATTTTATTAGCCAGGCCTCCAAGGCTCCAACATACAACAATATGAAAGAATAACATATCTAAATTATATCAGCTTGAACAGGATAACCCACGAAAGTTCGAGAGCTTATTTCCAGTGGGGTCCCCGACATACATGAACAAATTGATCTCTTCTTAATTTTTTTTTGCACACTGTGTTTATGTAGGATATTGCCTGGTTGAAATTGTTATGTAATAATAAAATATAAAGCCTGGTGGAATAAAAATCTTTCGATAAAAATCTAACTTCTTAAAAGGATGAAATTGACAGAGATGAACGAAAACAAAGATATAACTCAAAACTGTTAATAGTCTAGCTACCTGACAACCTTACCTTTATTTAAGTCAGAGCAATGCCGGGGAAAATAAAAAAAAACATTTGTTTAATTATAAAGAATGGAGAAAAGAGGACGGTTTAAAAAAGGGTCTTAGTTGGGTACAAAACAAAATAAAGTATTTCAACCATAATATGTATCAGAGATTTATTTCATTTATAATGAACGCAGCGCTGCCAGGAGACGCATGCATGAATTCCCGTTTTCCAAACGGATATGCCTCTGATATAAGTTATTTGTTTTACTTTTCTTTTCCTTCTACACAAACACAAACGACGTATTTCGCAAGAACAACACCTTAATAGTCGATTAATCATTATTCTGTTGATGCACATTTTCAATTGTTCATGGATGTAAATTTGTGATACTCTTGAAATTTGAATTTTAAGTTTATTGGTTACATATTTATATTCATTACAATTAAGATTCATTATACAAACAGAGAATCGAGTCAGTTCAAAACATCATGGATGTATAAATTAAATGGCAAGTATTGTGAATGATGAATAAGTGAAATGTATCGAGGAAGTCATATGATATAATATAGGCCCTAATATTGTAATATGTATCATTCATACCTGTGCATCTGTTTATATTTATGTTTATATGTTATGCCAGTGGCGTAATGAGCAAAAACCTTTTTTTTTTTTTTTTTTTTTGGGGGGGGGGGGGGGGGGGGGGGGGGCTGACAAAAAAAAAATCCGCAGCACCCCACCTTAACATGCAGGCCCCGCTGAACGTTTCGCAAAGTGGGGTCTAGGGGAAAAGCCTCGGCGGGGGTCAAGGGGCGGAGCCCCCGAAGCTCAAGGGGTATGGGCGGCAGTGGCGGATCCAGGAATTTCTTACCGGGGGGGGGGCACAAAATGGCATGGGGTTAAATATATGTAAAACGATGCAGCGACAGAACGAGGCTTTAGCGGCGAGGGAGCGGAGCGACCAAGCGGGTGTGAGTCTGGGCCCCTCCCAGAGTAAGAAGCATTTGCATTTTGAGAACCAAATTATACGCATTTTCAGGCACTTCCTGGAGTAATATAACGTAAATTGCTGTCTCCTACCCCTTCCACAAGAGTGGGGATGTTTTGGAATTTGAGAACCACATTTGGCGCATTAATGTCCACCGGCACTTCCTGGAAAAAAACGAGGCCTTCTGATTGGTTAGAAGAGTCACGTCTTGAGACGTTGTATATGCTTTGATGCCGCACAATGCACAAAGACGGTGGTCCGGTACTCCATCAGTAGTACTTGCAACAATTTTCTTGAGTTTATAAACTATGTCGTTATCAGGGGCGTCGCTAGATCTTTGTCAGTGGGGAGGGTGTAGAGCATGGGTGTCGATCCGTAACTGATACCTATTCATCAGGGGGGGGGGGGATGATCTATTCATTCACCCCCCCCCCCTGATGAATAGGTATTACGTAAGTATCGACACCCATGGTGTAGAGGCCAACGATTACCGACAAAACGAGCAACCAATTACCGACAAATATGTTAATGCCAATGTCCAAATGTCTATACATTTAACTCTATAAACCCGGGGCCAGGAACTAAGTTATTTCTCAGTCTACCCACTCCCGCGCAAAGCGCGGAAACTTTGACACTTCATTAAATTATTAAAGAAGGAAGACGATTCGTTGTACCGTTCTCGACTCTTAATCCTAGTCTGAATTCAGTTGCCCCCCCCCCCGAAGCGCGGAAGCTTTGCAGTTTCATTACATTATTAGAGAAAGAAGACGATTCGTTGTACCGTTCAATTTCAATTTCCCCCACTGGGCCCCTTAACGGTACATGTGCAGTGTTCATAGAGATGATGTAAGTATGGAACGCCCGGCAGTGCTTGTCACAGTTGCTTTTGGAAAGGATTTTTTTTTTTTTTACTAGTGTTATTGTTAGTGGCCATGGCCCCTTAGTGACTATAAAAACACATATTTTTCTGGCCATTTGGGAATGTGTCAGTTACAACAGAAATGGAGAAACGCGCATTTTGTTGAAAATCATGTGATATCACGAACATTTATACATCACTTGTATATGGAATTGAAAATAAGCCATGGTTCAACTTTATTTAGGGGGGGGGGTGGCTGGCGCCCCCACCAGTACGCCGGTGTGTTATGCCCTGCTTCGGCAACTCGAATTGCTATGGGCCATGTATGCTATGTGATAATGTCTGTTCAATTATGATTTATTTGTAACTCTATCTATCTTGATTATGAAGTGAAAATCCTTATAGGCCTATATACATTTAAATATATGAATAAAAATATATTTTATGCTACTTAATTATAAATATGTAATGGAGTTACTTTATCTGTCTGCGATCATTGAATCGCTATCATTTATAATGTTAATAAAAAGGAAATATACAGATGGAATTCGAATCCTAAACCCTTTGATTGAGAGCCAAGTGATAACCACTATACCGTGACTCCTCCAATACTGACAAATAAGAGGTAATAAAACGCAACCATCTTCTAAGTATATAATCTGGCAAGTGCTGTCTGTACCGGGATAAGTAATGACGAAATTCCCCCCCCCCCCCCCCCCCAAAAAAAAAAAAAAAAAAAATCAACTGAGAATTATCCGATAAAAAAGGGTCTTCCTCAAATTTCTTTTTTTGTCGGCGCCAAGGATAAGGCCCGGAGATAAGGATAAAAACGATTCATATTTGCCAATCTTATTTTTTTTTTAATCGGGGGAGGGCGGGGGGAGGGTAGGGTAGGGACCTAGGGGTCATCTACTCTATAAAAAGACAAGAGTGAATTTTCACTCTATTTTCACTTTCTTGGGAGTGACGTCAGTGATCACTCGATTTTTTTTTCTTCAGAGAGTACCCACTCCCCTCGATTAACAACTTAATGTCCTATAATACAATGTAAACAAACAAGCCTTGAAGATAATAATCCCCTTCGCTGAGTAGCAGCAGGTATTTACATTCACTCATGCATGTACAACATAAAGGCCAGGAGAAAACGATGAGTTTGAAAAAGGGAATAAAAGGGAGAGTGTTATATATACGTGAGGCCTTCATGCAAAAACATCAGCACCCACACAGTGCCGTTGAGCGTATTCGTTCAAGAGAAGATAGGATATCTGTATGTGGTTCAAATTGAGGTGTTCGTGAATGCCCTAAAGTAGGACAAACATTACAACTAACAACATGAACTCTTGCAACTAATTTACTTCTGCGAGAATATTATTCTGCATGATCCATGCAGTAGCGTATATAACGCCGAGGAATTAAATTTGGTGCTAATTGGTTGCGATGCTAGGACTAGGAGTGAGGAATAAACTGTGATTTGCTTAAATGTCAGATCGGAGGGAGACAAACAGAACGAGAACAATTGGTAAGAAGAACATGATTTTACGATTACCCGACCGACCCGAATCAGCTGATGTTAAGTATCGCATAGACACAATTTACAGTGTAATTTATATATTTTCTACCCTGGAAGTTAATTGAAGATCATCAAAACGCTGAGCAAGTGTGTATGCATGCATGTATCTTCGAGGTACACGAGAGTAGGCCAACCCGTAGGCCAATAACATAATGAATATGAATGTTTTGAGAATGCAGAAGATAAATATCAGTGCAAAGAAGCTACTAAGTGATGTGTTTTTATTGAGTGCACGGACAAGTATGGTGGCCCTGAAGGGACATCGCGAATAGACTAAATCGTGAAAAATATGCGATAAAATTCACGATATCGTCAATTTTATCGCATATTTTTCACGAAAAAATTCACGAAATTGACGATATCGTGAACTTTATCGTGAACTTTTCACGATGAAATTGACGATATCGTGAATTTTATCGTGAATTTTATCGTGAAAAGTTCACGATATAAAGTTCACGATATCGTCAATTTTATCGTGTACTCTATCGTGTACTCTATCGTGTACTCTATCGTGTACTCTCCTGACGGGCGCTTCGTAAACAAAACCAGCCCTAGCTGGGGGAGACAGAGAGAAGGAAAAAAGGGAAAGGGAAAGAGAAGATAAAAGGAAAGAAAGAATAATAAGAAGAAAAGAGGGAAACGGGGGGGGGGGGGGCGAAGGGCTCTTGCCTCCTCCTCACTCCCCCCCCCCCCCGCCAAAAAATAAATAAGGAGAGAGAGAAGGGAAAGGGAAAGGGAAAGAAAATATAAAAGGAAAGAAAGAAGAGGAAGAAGGAAAGAGGGAAACGGGGGAAGGGCAAAAGGCTCTTACCTCCCCCCCCCCCCGCCAAAAAAATAAATAAGAGAGAGAGAGAGAGAGAAGGGAAAGGGAAAGAAAGAAGAGGAATAAGAGGGAAACAGGGGAAGGGTGAAGGGCTCTTGCCTCCTCCCCCCCCCCGCCAAAAATAAATAAGAGAGAGAAGGGAAAGGGAAAGAAAATATAAAAGGAAAGAAAGAAGAGGAATAAGAAGGAAAGAGGGGAACGGGGGAAGGGCGAAGGGCTCTTGCCTCCTCCCTCCCCACCCCCCGCCAAAAAAATAAATAAGAGATAGAGAGAGAAGGGAAAGGGAAAGGGAAAGAGAAGATAAAAGGAAAGAAAGAAGAGGAAGAAGAAGAAGAAAAGAGGGAAACGGGGGCGAAGGGCTCTTGCATCCCCCCGCCCAAAAAATAAATAAGAGAGAGAGAGAGAGAGAAGGGAAAGGGAAAGAGAATACAAAAGGAAAGGAAGAAGAATAAGAAGAAAAGAGGGGCTCTTGCCTCCTCCCCCCTCCCGCGCCAACAAATAAATAGGAGAGAGAGAGAGAGATAGAGAGAAGGGAAAGGGAAAGAAAATATAAAAGGAAAGAAAGAAGAAGAAGAAGACGGAAAGAGGGAAACGGGGGAAGGGCGAAAGGCTCTTACCCCCCCCCCTCCCCCCTCCCGCCATAAAGGGAAAGAGAAGGGAGAGGGAAAGAAAATATAAAAGGAAAGAAAGAAGAGGAAAAGAATAAGAAAAGAGGGAAACAGGGGCGAAGGGCTCTTGCCTCCTTTCTTTTCTTTCTTTTCCTTTCTTTCCTATTCTCCCTCTTTTTCGTTTTTCTCGTTCTTTCTTCTCTTTCCCTTTCGTTCTCTCTCTCTCTCTCTCTTATTTATTTTTTGGCGGGGGGCGGGGGGACGAGGCAAAAGCCCTTTGCCCCCGTTTCCCTCTTTTCTTCTTCTTCCTCTTCTTTCTTTCCTTTTATCTTCTCTTTCCCTTTCCTTTTCCCTTCTCTCTCTCTCTCTCATTTATTTTTTGGCGGGGGGGGGGAGGGGGGGGGCAAGAGTCCTTCGCCCTTCCCCCGTTTTCCTCTTTTCTTCTTCTTCCTCTTCTTTCTTTCCTTTTATCTTCTCTTTCCCTTTCCCTTTCCCTTCTCTCTCTCTCTCTGATTTATTTTTTGGCGGGGAGGGGGGGGGGGGGTATTAAGGAGGAGGCAAGAGCCCTTCGCCCCCCCCCCCGTTTCCCTCTTTTCTTCTTATTATTCTTTCTTTCCTTTTATCTTCTCTTTCCCTTTCCCTTTTTTCCTTCTCTCTGTCTCCCCCAGCTAGGGCTGGTTTTGTTTACGAAGCGCCCGTCAGGAGAGTACACGATAGAGTACACGATAGAGTACACGATAAAATTGACGATATCGTGAACTTTATATCGTGAACTTTTCACGATAAAATTCACGATATCGTCAATTTCATCGTGAAAAGTTCACGATAAAGTTCACGATATCGTCAATTTCGTGAATTTCTTCGTGAAAAATATGCGATAGAATTGACGATATCGTGAATTTTATCGCATATTTTTCACGATTTAGTCTATTCGCGATGTCCCTTCAGGGCCACCATAGACGAGGCCTACGGACTATACTCATTCTTATATAAGCGAGCCTGCTTGGTTGATCGTTAGGAACGGTTAAGTTATCCTGTCAATTTCAATAACGAAATAAATTAATGTTGGCACTATTCTCCGATCATAAACAGTTGCAGTGGTAAAACTAGTGGTGTTGTGGTTCATTCACCTAACTCACGGTCCAAGCTAGGCAGGTTACGGGTTCGAATCCGAGCCCGGCACTACTTCAAGTGAATCGAGAGACAGTAATTCACGTTTGCCACTCTCCACACGGGTGCAAACGTGTAACCGCGGCAATCGCTTGGGTAATAAGAATTGCAGGCCGGGCCCCAGGATAAACAACATTGAAGCTGTTGATTTAGTCTTCGAATATTCCGTAGGCAAACAAACTTATTATTGTCATTGCATCAGATCTTGCAGAGAAATAGTCGAGTTTTAATGAGGCTTTTGAATGATACCTTCTTTTTCTTCTTCTTCTTCTTGATTTCCTCAAGGTTTTGAGAACTGCGGAGTTGTATCCTTCGCAGATAGAGTCAATAGAGAATAGGCAGACAATATGATATAATAATAGGATCAGTGGATTAGTGGCTTCGATACACATTATAGTTTCAAACTGGTGGCAGCGGTGGGATTAGAAGCTGAGGTGCTTTTAGGAGTTTGAAAATGATCGAGGCAGACAGACAAATCCCAAAATCACTCTCTTACGCTTTTGTGCCAGTAGTTGCCATGATATCCCGTTTTACCGTTTGACTGCTCTTCATTTCTCCGATCGAGAAAGAAACACTATTTTTTTAAAGGAATAAATCCATGTTTATACGACTCAGGTCGATATACCTACCACGTTTTCCTCACATGGGCACATCGGCTGATTGAGGGTCTCAATTTGACGCCATGGGCGACGAAACTGACTTTCTATGGCTGGAGTACTCTCAGGAATCGCCGTTCGTTAGAGCAATTTTAGAAGAAGAACTAGAGAGGGAAGCAGAAGAGAGGGAAGAGGAAGAGGGGGAGCCTGCTGAGCAAATTAGGGTCTACGAGTTTGATGAGCAATCGATTAGTTTAGGATGGAGAATCTACGCCCTAGCTATCGTCACATTCCTCAACGTTTTGAACTTCACTCAGCAGTAAGTGGCGTATCCAGTTAATGTTCCGGGGGGATTGAACCTTTATTATTGCTTTTTCGGTTTGTAAGAGAAATGCATGAGCCATAAATTAGCTCATCGGGCCATAATGCGTATCATAACTATTATATTATATTGCATATGAACATTGTAGGCCTCTGGTTGGTCGGAACTACAGGCATGAAATTCGCTACTGACTGCTGGGTAGTATAGTGAAAATATTGACCGGGTACACTTCTACTTGCGTGTCCACAGTGCAGGGACGCATTGGTTTCGCTTGAAGTTAACTGTGGAAACTCAAAATGAAACACGTCCAATGCTTTCCCACAAATGAATACATTTTGAAAGGCATATTTTGTTAAAATATCGCTCTTTGTGAATTGACACAGAGGATGCGGTATATAAATAAAACTATTGACTACTCATTTTTCGAGACACGGTTAAAACTATTGCTCCTCGGGGCACAGTACAATTTCGAGCTCGCCTTTAGAAATAGCTTTAACCGTGTCCCTCAAAGCAGTCAATATTCATTTTACGAATATGTGCACACTTTGAGTATGATTATGGCCTTAAGCCTTTGACCACGTACTGTGTACGGGTATGCCCCCTTCCCGCCCATCTCTATCAATCTGTGCCGTTATATATAGGTGTTAAAGCTTTATTTCAACAAACAATATAAACAAGACCTTAATTGTAAATCTAAAATCATCATTAAAACTAGAAAATACATCTGAATTAATTTCTACGTACTATTCATTGCTACGCAACTTTTCATACCAGGTATCTTCTAATCGTAACGATATTCGGAATGGCCAACGAGTTGGAGTTTGGAGAAACACAATGTCAGGTGATCAACGAAACATTGGCACGTGACTATCTTCATGATCACAACATGACGGGAGATCTAGATGGATTGTGCTCCGAAATCGGAAGGTAAGATGTTCAATTTACGTTTCAATACTTGCCTGTATAATATTTTGGGTTTTAATAAGGTGCACGAAAAATGTAAAAATCGTGTCTCTTCCTGGAATCATTTTCCTTTCGATCTCTCCCTCTCTCTCTCTTTCTCTCTCTCTGTCACACACACACACACACACGCACATACTAGCCACCCCCTCTCTGTGACTCTATCGCTCGCATGCCCTATCTCTATCCCTCTCTCTCACTCTCTCTCTCTCTCGCTCTCTCTCCGATAGTATCTTTCTATCCCTCTCATTGTCGACATTATTATGCATGCCATTCTCTCGGCCCTCTCTTACCGCCGAACTTCCCTCTCTTCCCATTTTCAGACAGTAGGAACCAAAACTTCACTTTTATGGTTTCAACAGCTTTGCATCTTGTTCAGATTATTCGCTTAGGGATACCTGCTATTCTGCATCACCTTGAACCCCTTTATAATGCTTGTAGTAACTTAATTGTATGGGCTTACAAGGCGTCAAGCTTTGGCCTATCTTGGATATCCGATTCTGTTTGAAATACATTTCTTTAGGGGAAGTCCACCCTGAATTGTTGTGTTGTTGGTTATATTTATGGCGTTCAGTCAGATTTGATTATTTACGCCTAGTCTGGTTCTCAGTCGTGTCGTGATAGTCGAATCGTAATCCTGGCTTGGAAACTGTGTGCGTCTGTGCTTTGCTGGTCCACCCTGATATTTAATTGGTTTAAATAGAAGTTGAAAAATTAGAGTAAAAATTAGCGCAGATTTTAGAAACAATAGGATAGTTATGAATGTTTTAAAGTGCAAGTAATCTAACACACTAATTGGCAACTTTGTGACGTATCTGGGCGCTATTTATGAAAGCCGAATATTATTATTATTATCTTGCAAGCTCCCCTCTTATAATTTGCTCTGTACTTAAAAGAGTCCGAAATCTTATATTTTCCCTCAAGGAAATTCTCAATCATACATGTACCCTAAATATAATTATGAGAAATATGTTTATGTACAACCCCTGTTTGGCAAAAAATGTCTTCCGTCATCCATAACGAAGAAAATGAAACTTTATGAAATTTTGCCTGAACTAAGAACGAGATTGCGTTCCGATAATACGAACAATAAAAATGTCATGGCAATAATGCATTACCATCTTCTTCATTATCATTCACGAATACTCTATTCAGGACCCCATTCTCTTCTCTTAGACTAGTGTTATTCAAACGAAAAAGGTGTGGTTATTATTCCATCATCAATATTCGATAAGTTTTGTTACCGTGTCTCTTCAAATAACTATTTTGACTTGTAGTCTGATAAAAATTCATGTTTTTGCTTTCGTCTCGTTCACTTTTTTCTTTCTCTCAATTTTACATAAGGTGTTCTGAGAACAGCACACTATTCCTTCCAGACGTGTGTGGGATACAGTACACTGGACAAGGCATACTCTTTGAAATTCTGGCCGGTCCAATTTATCTGATCGTCCAAGGTGTTACGAGTATTCCCCTCGTAGGCTTGATCCAGCGGTTATCTTTGAGGCCACCCTTTGTGATAGGGTTGTTTACCATACTATGGACACTCTGTACTTTTATAACAGCCTATGTGAACGACTACTGGGCCATCGCCCTTCTAAGGTTCCTCTTTGGAGTATTGTAAGTATGCATCTTTATTCATTTAACTTACTCGGAATATGAACTGGCAGTGTTCAGGCAAACAAACGAAAGGACCACATACACTGGACTTGCATTTTGCTTCCTCCTTCCCCACTCTCCTCCCCTCGCCTCCCCTCCCCCAAACACTCTCCCCTATGGTGTTTTGCTAAGGACAGGTAAACACAGCGCCCTCTCTGTCCCTCTCTATCCGTAGCCATCTTCTTCGTGATGTTTTATATGACCTGTCAACTATCAATTCTTAGTTTTCCTCTTCTGAATTTACCATCCATCTTCCCAAGTTCCAAGATGCTCCTAAACAAGTAGGTATACCCCCAACCCCAATGTGTACTCACCATCCTATCCAGCTTTTATTCACGTCTTCAGATTTTTTCTTATTTTTTCTCAAGCTCCTTTGTTTATAAACTCTATCGAGCCTATCATGCCATCGTATGTGATCGACTACTGGGCCATCACACTATCTCCGTCCCCCCCCCCCCACTACCCCTCCCCACACACACCTTCCATTCTTAGCATACATCTATTTGATGCCATCACTGAACGATAATTATGTTTTGAATATACACATTAAAGGTAAAGACCAGTTATGGTCATGCGATTGCACTGTGAAAGAAACGTTGTGGAATCGATCAGAAAAGGTTGATCATCTAGCATCTAGCATCTGCAAGGTTCTGGAATCATCAAAATGATAAGAAATTTGGCCCATTCTTCGTAAAGTTACGAGCACTAAGCTGCACTATACACAGAAAGATTTATATGGGACTACCCTATATCTCTCACAGACCATGATAGAAACAAATTTACCAAATATATGAATTAGTAGGCGGTTTCCCGGCAATTTTTTTATCATCATGTATAAATCAAAACATATTCTTTCACATGATTGGTAATGAGAGCTTCCATTTCATTTTTTGAAATTGGGGCGTTTCCAATACTGGTCTTTACCTTTAATGCAGACACAAGTATTATAATGACACGATGTCAAATACAATCGGGAAATGAACCTAAGGCAATCCCAAATGCCTAATTATACCATCATCTTTGAAATGTGGGAACATGGCAATAGGGACTTTTAGATTTGCGTGGACTGATACGTGTGACGTCCATTCAAGGCAGTGCATTAAAAGGACGTCGATCGTAGCAATCCCCCGTTGTCTTTGTGCGAATCTAAAAGTCCCTAATGACGTTTTACATGCAACGTACTTAGTCCTGGATTGTAGTCCGAACGCAATACCTATTTATGCAATATACATGAGGGTGCATGTAGACATTACACTTAATCAGTGGAATGTTTTAAAAGTCGATATGATCGTGTTAATGGCATGCAGGCACAATCAGTAACAATACAGTTTTAAAAGAAGAAAAAAAAAAAACGCTTTCGTTACGTAACGAACAACGGCCTTGTGAGTAAAGAAAGAGGGAATAGGCTATAGGTTTCAGTATTTTCTGCCAAAAAGAAGGCTGAAATAATGGTTGAATGAGCATAAATGGGGATTAAATATACAAAGTGTAATCAAGCATTAAGCGAAACAAATCCACATGGTATTTTACTTCGTTAGAAACGATATACTAGATACTAGTGGTAGATGTAAACCCTACCGCATAACTGAAACATTTTTATGTCATCACGTGACTCCCACTGTACTAAGTATGCATTTGTGTGTCGAATTATTTTATTCCAATGGGTTATTAGATCAAATATCATTTTTCTGCACGCTTTTTTTAAAATAGCGAGCAGCAATATAGTATTATTTGTAACCATATGTTAAGAACAAAAAAAAAATGATAACATCTTTTAGCCCCCCCCCCCTCCCCCACGGCGCAGTCGAAACCATTATCGTGTGAGACATTCTGACAATTTAGAACAGGGGGGGGGGCGTTTCACAAAACTTGTCATCAGTGAAAAATGACAGTTGTTGTTAAGCTACTGATATTCTTGCTTCCGATTGGTTATCAGCAAACTTGTCACTGTATTTTGTCATTGTTCATTGAAAAAAGGCTTTGTGAAACGGGCCCCTGTTCATTTAATCCGTTGCACACGAAGCGTCAGGTGTCTGACGTAAGAGTGCGTCATTGAATGCTGCTGTTTTGACGCATTGTGTAAGAGTATCGCACCAACGAAAGTGCAAATATAACATTGAAGTACAAGGCGTTATAACTATTCAAGTTTGCTGACATCCAATTGAAACGCGAGTTAAAATTTAATACACGCGTTTCAATTGGATATCGGCAAACTTGTACCTTCGACGTCTTCGTAAAAGGCCGTCCTGGCGTATGGGCTGATTTTGTTCATTGATTTTAGAGCACAGTTTCATATAAAACTTGTTATCAGTAACAAGTAACAACTGTTAAAAGCCACTTAAATCATTGCATGTGATTGGCTGACAGATTATTTGTCATACCATTTTTAGTATTTCTTATTGATAAGAAGTTTTTGAAACAGGGCCGTGGTTATAGAGCAGGCAGTTAATGGTGTTGTCGAAAGGACACCTCGTGTGTAATTGGTTTAAGTCTTGAGAGATCGCGAAAATACGCGACGCCTTTCTTTTCATCAGCTTTGCAGATGAAGTTCCAGAATCAGTTTACTTGAGACTGAAGCTTTTAAACTAAAAATGTTACTGTCCTATCATGTTTTCTTGCAGCTCATGCCCCCACATGCCCGTGGCCTATGCCTATCTTGCCAGCGTTTTTCCTTCGGTAAGTACTATGAGACAGTGTATGTGGTGGTGCGTTGGTGAGGTTAAGTATGGCTCCTGTGTCGAGTACATCATATATGATATGATTTAGTATTGAAGAAGCTGTAGGTGTTTGGATCTACACCCCTTAACTAATGGCACTGGCTTAAGCATTAATAGTAATAATAATTCTCTCCATCTTTCGTCCCTATCAGAAAGTACACACTCTTGTCTTTGGGGTAGCACACTACGGATGTATTGCAGGGTACGGCATCGCTTACTTTTTCGTCTTTGTGAGTGACGGTATCGGTTGGAGATGGTGCTACTACATATGTGGTGCCATGGGGGTTGTTGTCGCCATAGGTTCCTGTTTCATGGCGAATCCAAAAGTATTTCACTGTCGAGGGCAGGTAGGTAAACTAAGAAAAAATTGATGATTGATTTATTCTTGTCCACAAAAGTGGAACTTCCACCATACATGCAGCATTTACAATTACTTAACGATACAATTTTTAAACGGGATGAAATAAAACAGAATCATATTATACAAAATATAATGCATAAAAGAGGAGAAAAGAAATAATCATACGGGTTAATTTGGATATTAAGATCACACTAAATAAAAAAATGCATTTCTTCAACTGGATGAAAACTTAGGGAATGACAAAAATCGGCAACATCCCCGTACATACACTTTTCGTACCCATTTCTTTAATATTTAAGTTTATAGTTAAGATAAACAAATACTAGATCGTAGGAGGGAGGTCATTAATTTACAGAGAATTGTCGTAGCACTAATACAAACAATAATTATGAACAGTTTGAAGGGTAGGGGTCACCTATGAAGACCCTTAGAGTTACTTTTTTGTTGTACTTTATGAAAATCATATTTCGAAAAGTCAGTCCGAGAGATTATCAGAAGTAAGATTATCCGGGTGTTTACAAATATTTGAATTTCCTTTGAAACTACTCCTCCACCTGTGTTGATATAATTATGCATTGATATAAATTAAAGGTTACTTCTATAGCAGAAAGAAGAGGTGTGAGGGGTACTCACATATTAAAACATACGGGGGTGTGCCGCTCTAGTGGGTTCCATTTTTACAAAAAGATCCCTAAATATTGGTCCGTTTTTTTCGAAAATTGTGAAAATGGGCTTTACTTCGAGAACCCCCCCCCCAAAAAAAAAAAATGAGTAGGGGTTTCGAGGCTTGAGCGTCAACCTCGTCCAAACCGAATCTTAGTTCCCCCCCCCCCCCGGGGGGGGGGGGTAAGATTCAAATTCTGTTCATTGTTATTGAAAATCAACTTGAAATCTAACATTTCCTATAAAATGTTGATCAGTTTTTAGGGATACCATTTATGTCATGTAAATATGTCAAAAAGAACCCCTTTTAAGGTGTGTGTACCAAAGACTAGATAAAATTACCTTTCTTATCAAAGAGGACCTTAGATAGTTAATGTAATAATCATAAATTATTCAAGTTACTTTCTAAATGTGACAGGGACTAACTTCGTGCTTTTGATAATCCAAAGAGATTACATTAACACAATTATTATACAAAAATTAGTATTACCCTTAGTGCAGAAGGCAGACCCCAAGCTGAAAAAAACCCACCCACTATTGCCCACCTTCGTATTGCCCACCTTCGACGCGTTTTTACAAACCAGGTTTATAAAAAAAACGCGTAAAAACGCGTCATATGACGTACATAAACCTCGGTTTGTCGACAAACCTCCTTTGTGAATTCAGGCCAATGAACACGATCGTAAGGAACTTCGGGAAATAAAGACAAGGACAATTTTAATACTCTATTGTATATCCCCTAGAAATCATATTCGGATTACATAAGAGGTCATTCTAATGTTCGCATATTCTAAAGGTGATTGACAGGGCTCATTAAATTGCCTTAGGTAGAATTTTCGAAAGTCTTCACGATTATATTGGTGATATTTTTCGTGGTAGATTCTAATGCTCTCATCGGACTAACGAAATGAAAAGCAAAGCTTGTAATACCATTAATTATTGTGAAATTCTATTTTTCATAATCAATTTCTTCCAGTCAAGAACATTCCGGCCCTCTTGGAAGCAGCAACGCGCTGGTCTGAGGCAGATTGTGTGGTCTGTCATGATGCCCTTGATCCTCGCCAACACGTCACGCATAGCCGCTTTAAACGTTGGGTCGTACAACATCACTCTCTATATGGCGGAGTATTTTCCTGACTTCAATGTGGCTTTTCTGGGCTGGGTCACACTGGTGTCGTCCTTTCCGGGCAGTATCTTTGGCGGGCTCCTTTGTGATATCCTGCGAAGAACTTCCGGTATACGCGGACGGCTATGGCTCAGCCTTGTTCTGATGGTAAGAATGATGATGTACCGAAGCTAGGCTCTGCATGTGCACGTGCATTAGACGTTATTTAAACTACGCTATTTAATAGGAAGACTTTTAGGCATATACACGTCCAGGCGAAATTCTAGCCACAGACACAGCCCCGCAGGATGCGATGGTCTAGCGCAAGGTCTTACATTAATTGTGTACGAAAATGACTTGGACTGCAAACTTGAGTTCAAACACGTAGTAGGTCCATGCGCTGGTTAAAATAACCTCCAAAAAAGGAGCTCATTCTGAACATTGTTATGACAACTTCAAGTTCAGGTGCGGCCGTCTTCTGTAGAGGCAATTTCCCACTGCTTACTGTGGCATGAATGGGTACTATAGCCTAACATGGGTCATTACAGTGAGGAAGTAAGTGGCGTCGTGCCGAGGGTGGGATCTCCGGTCTTTCTACGTGGATTACATGAAAATGTAAAGGTCATTGATAAATGGGAGGGGGAAGGAGGGAAAAGTAGCGTCTTCTTTGAGTGTTCCCTTTCCGCTATCCCTTTTCCTTTATTTTTCCTTTCCTGTCGTTTTAGTTTTATTTGTCACCGTTTGAAAGGGCAACAAATATTGACCGTCTCGATTCCCTCCCTACCCTTCAACTGTCAGTGTCGCTGCGCCACTGATCATGAGCGGAACAACGATTTTGACATGATTCTTTCTGATGATAATTATAATTGCATATCATCAGTATAATGTATTTTGGTTTTCATCTGCAGGTTATCTCGTTAGTCGTGTCACCGCTGATCTCTCTAACTCCAGTTACGATGGCCGTTGCTTTGTTCGGCATTTATATCGCCGCCAGTGACTGGTTCTACGTCGTCAATCTCGCCGTCATCTCCGACCTCACACCCCTCGAGTGCAAGACGACCATTTTCGCGCTCAACTTCTTCTTCACAAATTCCTTAGGAGGCGCTGTAAATCTGACCTTTGCTCCGATCGCATCCTTGGTTGGTCTCCGAACAGCGCTGACGAGCTTTAGTGTGTTACTTTGTGGGATCAGTGTTGTTGTATTCCTCATACCCATTGGAGTCACGGAGTGCCTTGGGGAAAGATTTGGAGTGACTGGGAATGAAGAGGAAAATACAACCGAATCTGGAGAAACAACCCCTCTTACGGCTTCATTGCCTTCATACCGTTCACTCTCAACATGAACAGGGTGACTCTGTAGTCACTACCATGTACACCACTCAACAGCCAATTTATAATCAAGTTTTTCATGGAAGTTACCATTAATGGCAAACTTGTTATCGATGCTATAATTTTTATCAAACGTGGCCCAAGAGTGGTTTCACGAAACAGTGATTGTGTATATCTTATGGAAACGTCTTATTATTATATCATTCATTTATTGCAACCATAAGTTGGATTTCATACAGTAAAAAAGGCAGGCATATAAATGGTTCACAATATAGTTATATGTATATATACTTTGTAAATGTTAGAATGAAATGTATTCGAATAGGACTTCCGAAAACTGACAGCTGGTTTTCTAAGTTACAATGGTCAATGTCTTGTAGGATTGTGGGATCGAGGCACTCAAGGCCATAAAGTTGATCTCCTTTTCCATCAATCTGTATGGCATAAAATGCCTTTCAACCAGGTAAACGTAAACACTGATAAAGATGGAGTTGAATCGGCCCAGAAGAGGAAGGGGGTATAGGATATGGGGAGCGTCAGTTATCATAACGTAACTAGGCTCGACTAGCACTTGTGCTAACTTCTAGTTCCCATTAACAACTTCACCTAAATATTAAGCAATACACATATTTACGTGTTTATGTTTTATGACATTTAATAGTATGCAGAGCTATGTCTAAATATCGTTTTAAAACCATACTGTTCAATCAACATTACTCTTATGTTATGTATACATGTATCAGTATTATTCTTTGCATTGTATGATAGTTCATAATATAATGTACTTTCATTATTGTGATGTGTTGTTAATAAATTCAAATTCAAATTCAAAATCAAATTCAAACGTAATACTTCTTTATTAATAATTATGTAGTCGTGGCAACATCACAAATCTTATTTTGATAATTCAAAAGGGATGATTTCAGCTGGTCACATTTGTAGAGGTGTTGTGGTCTAGTGGATAAATTGTTGGACTGTGCAAGATATTAATCTACACTTGCCACTCTCCACCCAGGTGTTAAACGGGGACCTGTAGGAAGGAATTCCTTGAATGCTGTGAGCGCCGAAATCGGCTGCCTAGCAGAGCCGGGGATAATAGTTGGAGCGCCTTGCGTACTATGCAGGGTAGATATTTGTGCTATATAAAATTTATATCCAATATTATTATCATTATTATTATTTATTCACAGTACATAACGATGAGTAGAATATATATTTTCGGTACTATTCCAGTATTTCGCGTCGAATCATTTTCCAAAATTCATCAGATATTTCAATACGAAAGTCTACTTCGCTCCTCAAAAGTAGGCCATAAAATTTAACCCTGCATGGAGAAGTAAAGTCAACTGAAAAGAAAATTAAATTATCATCAATAATATTGTAATCAAATCTTCTAGGAATATTCTGCGGTTTATACAGTTGAATATCCTAGTGCTATTTATCAAAAAGTTTGTGAGATCAAATGGTTTCCATGGGAATGTTAATAGTTATCCATAATTGTTAAAGGAAATTAGCACATGCTAATTGTGAAGTGATAGAATAGGGTATCTTGAGGAGAACAGGAAAAGCCATGAAATAGAATATGTGTGGTGTGAAATTCTCCGACAGAAAGGACACAAGACGTGAGCTCATTGAAAGGTTGGGTCTGCAAGAAGCTGCCTTGGAAGTAGTAAAGAGGAGCGGATAGAGATATAGATGGGTCATGTGCTGAGAATGGAAGATGATGAACATGTTAAAGGTAAAGACCAGTATTGGAAACGCCCCAATTTAAAAAAATGAAATGGAAGCTCTCATTACCAATCATGTGAAAGAATATGTTTTGACTAATACAATTGATGATAAAAAATTTGCCGGGAAACCGCCTACTAATTCATATATTTGGTAAATTTGTTTCTCTCATGGTTTGTGAGAGATATAGGGTAGTCCCATATACATCTTTCTGTGTATAGTGCTTGTAACTTTACGAAGAATGGGCCAAATTTCTTATCAATTTGATGATTCCAGAACCTTGCAGATTCTAGATGCTAGATGATCAACCTTTTCTGATCGATTCCACAACGTTTCTTTCACAATGCAATCGCTTGACCATAACTGGTCTTTACCTTTAAAAGAGCGTAGGATCTGGAAGTGGACGTCAGTTAAAAAGAAGGAAATGAAGAGCGAACATTTAATGAAAAGATATGGTGAAGAGAGAAAGCAGTATGAAAGTTTGGTCTAACCTAGGCGGATGCCCAAGACAAGAAGAAGTGGAGGGAGTGTCAACATGGCGCGAAAGTCGGTAAGTCCTTAAAATAGGGAAAATCCTGACTGTAATAAATGATGATCATGATGATGGTATCCAAATTGTAATGTTTGAAAAATTAAAGGTTTCCCAAAAGCAAAAAAAAAACTTTCTAGATCCTTTTTATATCGGTGTGAAATCCAAATTATATAGATTAGGCTTAGAAAGTTTTCAACTCGACCCAATTTAAATGTAAGCATTGATTGAATGTACAGTTATATGTTCATAAATATTTTTATTAAAGATTCAAGATTCAAGCTTTATTATAATAGTGATATTTATACAAACGTACAATTTACGCACATCCATTTACAATATAATATATATAGGTGTGTGTGTGAGAGTGTGTGTGTGTGCGTGTCTGTGTGTATTTTGGACAAAGGTGTGAATTGGTACTTGATTCCTGATATAATGTATTTTTATAGCCTATAGTTCGCATTCTTAGTTTTTTACTTCTTGATGAAGGATAGAAATCATATGTACCATCAGGGCTCTAATTAAATTTTTGTCCACGGGGGCTCTTCCAAAAAAAATAGCCCCCGTGAACCTTCTCACGGGGGCTCTTTTAGTGCTAACGGGGGCTCTTATTTTAATACAATTTCCATTGGATTGGTACCCATGAAACTCCTAAATTCCTTGGTATTTTATCATTATCATTTATTTAAATCGGCATTCTCCCTCTTAGAAATTTACTTGTTTCATAGCTGTATACTTTTATCCCCGTGATCAGTGGCGGATCCAGGGGGACGGGGGGGGGGCGCCCCGCCCCCCCCCCCCTGGGAAAAAAGAAGGAGGAAAAAAAGGGGGAATTTTCTTCTTTCTTTCTTTTTGAAAAAAGAAGTCTTCCTTTCCCGCTTGTATCACAGAGAAACAACAGTTTAAGTTAAGTCTAACGTTAACGTTAATTTGTTATTAAAATGTAGAGTACAGCCCTTGGCCTTAGGCCTAATTTAGGTCGTAACTGTTACTGTTTGAAAATCTAAAGTAAAATTAGACGGTTTTCATGGTTAGACCAAGTAATTGAGAACAAAAAAGTTTACCCGTCACTGAGACCAGGTCAATCAATCTTCTAGATCCATTATTAGGGTTTAACGTTAGTAGATATAAGGTAGATGCAGGCGCGGATCCAGCGGGGGTGAGCGGGCCTTGCCCCCCCCCCCCCACTTCCGCAAGAGAGAGAGAGAGAGAGAGAGAGAGAGAGAAGGAAAAGAGGGAAAGGGAAAGAGGAGAGAAAGGGAAAGAAAGAAGAGGAAGAAGAAAAGCAAAGGGGAAGAAGGAGATGGGGGGGGGCGAAAGGGCCTTGCCTCCCAGGCTGTTGCCTCCCCCCCCCCCCAATAAAACAAAATAAGAGAGAAGGAAGGAAGGAAATGGAAAGAAAAAAGGAAAAGAGGAGATAAAGGGAAGGAAAATTGAGGAAGAAGAAAAGAAAAAAAGGGGAGTATCATGCAGTTGCAATTTTCCCGCCAACAAGTTGCGGATGGGGGTGGGGCAAAAGGTCTCTGCCTCCCCCGCCCCCGCTAAAAAAAAAGGAAGGAAAAGGAAAAAGGGAGAGCTAAAAGGGACCAAAAAAGAGGAGGAAGAAAAAAAAAGGGTGAAAAGAATTTCGATGCGGTGTTCGAGTAGAATTCTGTGAGGTGATGATATACTTTCTCGTAGCTTGATGTGACGAAGTGTCTCTATCCAGATATCTGTTGATAGTATTATAGAATATAGAAGCCTGATATGACCTTCTGCTCGTAACCGACAAGTCACCGCATTAAAATTAAATTGCAAATAGTGTTCAACAACACGATGGTGGATGAAACTTTCTAATATTCGAAGATATATGACCCTCAGACCATATTGTTTCATTATTTTTTATTCAATCAATCAACGTCAAACAATATCATCGCACGTCAATTTATTATTTCACCTTTTAATGCACTTTCATTCTTATGCATCACGAAAGAACACTGAATTGGATTCTTCAATGTTTGTTTTGATTAATTTCCTCTCCTTTCCTTCTCCCTGTTTAATACTGATAACATTTTCAATTTTTCTTAATCAAGGCAAAATATTATTTTCATATTTTTTTTTATGCAAGACAGGGAGAGAGAGAGGGAGAATATGTTTAGTGAGAATTATCGAGTACAACTATGAATTGCATCCTTTTCAATATTATTCAATTCGCTGAAAATCTTTATTTTATAATTCCACGGGGGGGGGGGGGCGATTTTTAATTTTGCAATCGCCCCCGTGGACAACCTGATGGGGGCGATTATGGAGCTCACGGGGGCGAATCGCCCATCGCCCCCGTGTATTTTGAGTGCTGTGTAACAGTACCATGCACTCTTTTCGAGGTACCTGTAAATGCTTGGATCTTCGGTGACTGGTCCCTCAGAAACTAGTTCTAAGCCAGTCACAGAGAATTTGTAATATTACTTGAAGCCTCTTAGTGCATTTATATATTTTTATTTTTTTTTAATTTAGGAAATTTTTTAGGAAATTTCATTTATTTCCACAGATTCATAAAAGACAATGTAAATTACAATCAAATATAAAAGTATTACAACAAAAGATGAACCTGTCATTTGGAAACTTTCCAGTTTTGATCAACGTGGTGTATTGGCAAATGAGCTATGGTCGGAGCGATGGACAATAAAATAGTAATAATAAAATCGTAGCTTATAAAGTACTTTCCATCGAAATCTCTAAGCGATATAACTAACAAAATACAATGACAAAACAATTACATATTAAGCAACAACAACAACAAATTTCACCAAAAAAAACCTACAACTTGAAATACATGTGAAATATTCATTAATTTGAACAGAGTATAATAAAGTTAATCATCAAAAGCAATTTCGAATAAATGTGTATAATGACATGTTTTGAATTGGTAGACAGTCTTACAGTTGTTCACATGCAAAGGTAGTTTGTTCCAAAGTTCAACAGAAGCTTTGCAAAAAGAGCGGTGACTATAAGAAAGAGTTGAATTGTGAAGATGACCGAAGATTGCGTAAGGGTTTGTATTCGTGGATTAGTTCTTGCAGATAAATTTGTGCCAATTCATGAATACATTTATAAGTTAAACCAAGATTTTGTACATAATGCGGTACATCACCGGCAACCAATGCAATTTGCGAAGTACTGGGGGTATTTCACAGAGACTAAGATCGACTTTATTAAAGTTAGAATCAACTATGGCAGGCCGTTCATGCCACAGTTTACTCTCACCATTATGATCTTTAGATACTATTTTTCCTTCAATTATTAAATTATCAAAAAAATGTAGATTTGTGACCATGATTTGTTCGTCCCTTGAGAGACCAATACCAAGAAATGGTGAGAGCAAAGTTCAGCAAACAGTGGCATGAACGGCCTGCAATAGTCAAGTCCAACTTAAAGTCGATCTTAGTCTTTGTGAAACACCCCCT